AAGTCGAAGCCTTTCGTTCCATCTTATCAGTTTCATATTAAACCAGCAAATAAAACGAGCGGTACTGAACTGCCAATTTCGCCTTGAGCAGCAAGTGGTTTCATTTTTAGAAAAGGATTCGAACATGGGATCAGGTGTTGATATTAGACCATCCTCTGAAGGATTGGCCGAGCTGAAAAGCATTTACTATTTTACTAAATTGTAAAATGATCAGACGGAGATCACAACAAACGCGAAACCAATCTCCAGTTTCCAATTAGAGAAACTCATTAAACTTCACTCTCTGTCTCATCTAAGCCAAGTAAATAATAAGCAAATGATTTTATTAACACCACTTACTTTTAGGCCCTTCAAATTTGTTTGCTAAGAAGTGAGGTTTTTTTGATTTTCTGCAACTTCAGTGGAACGTTTTAATTTGATTTGTAATTTTAACTTTTAAACTCAATTTCCAAATTCTATTTTTTTCAAGTATGATACTTATTGGGTTTTAAATTTGTGGGAACTGTTCATGACCACAAACTATCTTCCGTGCGGATTTTTTCAATTTTCAGCTAGATTTGCAAGTTAGTCGACACACCGAAAAGCAGTTTAGCTTTTGAAGATCATTTACTTGATCATAAATCGTAAAACTAGGTGACATCAGCAGAATAACTTGAAGGCACTCGGTATCCACAGACGGAGCTATTCGATTATTTAACTTAGGACATCATCCGGTAATAATGACTTGATCATCAGTCATCGGGTTGCAACAGCCGCAAGTATACCGCAGCGGAACATTGCATTATGGTGAGGGCAGGTTTGGGCGTTGTGACGGGGCCATGTATTCTGCGTGGACTGTCTGCAGTTCTCTGAGGGCTTCCTTGCAATTTTGTAGTCAGCGCTGTAGTCATTGCAGGACTTCTATCCCATCCGTCTTGATACCGCACGTACATTCAGAAGGGGAAAATTAGACCGGTGTGGAACTACTCCGGAGAAATTTCCTGAAATTCAATCAGTATGGCAGAGGAAGTGCTAATTGGACATCGAAATGAAGCTTTTGAGTATATGGGCGAAAGGACGGATGATATTATAACTACGGAATCAGGCTTCATACCCCCCACCAGCATTCCTCATGTACGGTACCGACTCAAACGACAGACCTGCGGGCTTACCACAGAAGGTACCAGCAATTCAGGGGATGAAGTTGATGAGATGAAGAAACTAGACGAGGTAATAGTGATATTTTTTCCCTCTCCGAGAGATCTAATATTCCACCATTATGATAGTAATTTTAGATAGTTTTTGTCATTGTTACTGTTATCTTTTTTCTTCCTAATTATATCTATATATAAATTTTCGTGAAATTCATTCCAATTTGTACAAACTCACAAAAACGCGATCCATCACTAAACTTGGAGGGACTGAGTGCAGTGTTTAAAAATGAAAGTGATATGAGATGGATTGAATAGTTACTATTTTCGGTACTTCATACTGTTTTGTTTTTGATAATAATGAGAATTCAGTTTTTTTATATTGTCAAATCAATGCAGTACTCACTTGTTTATTACTTGAGAATTTATTTATTAATCGATAAAGAACATGCCATTTAAGAACGGATTTACCGAAGTTTATGTTATCATTGTATAGTGATTTTTTATTTAAAGGGAATCAGTACAAACAATGAAATAGTTTCATTTTCAGAGTCCATCAGGAGATTTACCGTTGTCATGGTTGGGCCGTGTCAGGAAAATATTTCAAGGAGATTTCGGATCATTATGCCTTCTAACTTTTCTCTATTTGCTGCAGGGCATCCCTTTAGGTTTAATCGCAGCCATTCCACTTGTACTGTCCAGTAAACATGTGTCATATGGTCAGCAAGCTGTTTTTTCATTTGCATATTGGCCTTTCAGGTATATATATATACATATGCATATACTTGCTACCCATTCTGTTTTAAATGACTCAGTTAATGCAGTATAGAGAAGTGCACTTCCCTGATAAATTTCGTCATAAAAGCAGACATTTTGATATTCCTGATGAGCTTTTAATGTATAAGCAGAATTGCTATAGAGGGGCTGACCTAGAAATTTCACTGTGGCAGGGTATGGAGGTACAAGAAGTGAAATAATGTCAGAATTTGACGAAGTATATTTCCTTGCTTTAAAACGTGTATGCATGTGAATAAACTAATGCAGATGGGAAGGGATAGATGAACGAAAATTTTTAACTTGTTAAAAAAAAAGAAAAGAAACTACTACTACATTTGCTAAGCGTTCGATCCTTGTTTTGACCGCCAAAAAACCTTGTTAAGCTTTACTTGCAAAGGTTTGCAATGACTGGATTTTTTGCAAAGATTGTTTTTTTTTTTTCCAGCGTAAAATTGCTTTGGGCACCAATTGTGGATTCAGTTTACTGGAGACGTATAGGTCGTCGGAAATCGTGGATGGTTCCATGTCAGTATCTTATTGGCATTTTTATGCTTCTATTATCGTATCGAGTTTCTGAAATTATGGGTGATGGTGGTGCAGGCAAGCTTGTTTGTTATACTTTTAAAGTGGGGAATGTACAGGAAGAGGAATCAGAAAAATTCTCGTGTTTGGATAGTACATATTTAGCTCATTAAACTGTACTGTAATTCTTTCAGATTCAAAGCCACCAAATGTGCTGTTATTGATGTTTTTATTTCTACCATTGAATTTCCTTGCTGCTACGCAGGATATAGCTGTGGATGGCTGGGCGCTTACCATGCTTTCTAGGTGACTACTTGCAATTTTGTGTTACTCTGATCTTATTTGTTAGTTAAACTGCACAAAATTAGAAACATATGTTTTGGTTTTTATTCAAGAAAATGTATCCATCCTTTTATTTGTTGCACATTAGATTATATTTTTCATAATTCGAAATTACAAAATATTAATATTGTTATGCGTAATAGTTCTGCATCATCCGTGTTCTGTTACGAGGTTTCCTTGTATGAATGTGTTTGCTTACAGTAGCATTACTGTTAGAATGACTGAAAAAGCTTTTTTTCTGATTTTGTTTGAGTTTAACCAGATCAGTGTTAATATCACAGGGAAAATGTCGGACATGCATCGACTTGTAATGCAGCCGGTCAAACAGTTGGCTTTTTCTTGGGGAATGTCATGTTTTTGACGCTCGATTCACCCGATTTTGCTAATCGTTTCTTCCGCAATAAGCCGGAACCATTTGGCTTAGTAAACTTGTCCGGTTAGTTCCTTCCTGTTTTTGATTGATATAATGTACGCATTTTCAGTTGTAAATGCAATTTATAAGTTTTATGATTTAAATTCAGTTAGTACATTGCTATAACAATGGTAATTATTGTTGCGCATCTTCCACTACCTCTTTATCCTTGAAGATAATCAGTGTTTGAGTTATGTTTCTAATTTGGGCTGCATTGAATGATGTGACAAAATTTTGAAATTGCGTAATCATCTGGATTTTTTCTAATAAGAAAAAATTATATATAGATTTTCCGGATTCTTGCAATTAATTTCACATTCCTTACAATTAGTTTAATTGCTGAGTTTTTTACGAACGAAAATGCACAAGCAACGAAGAAAACTGGAACAAATGTGTTATCATTTACAGTTCCGGATGAGAGTAAATCTGATTAAGACGTTTGCTACTTATGCTACTTATGTTTCTGCTTCAATTGAGAATATTTTCAATATAAAAGTTGTGGATAGGTTATTCATAGTGAATGGCCTACAACTCGAGTGAATGAGGATTTTAAAGATTCTTAATTCTTAATTTTTTTCGCAATGTGGCAAAATTTCGATCTTCAGTATAGGTAGCAAATGGAATCCTTCATTCACGATTGGGGTGAACATGAAATAATGACTTCATATGATTCATTTTAGTGCAATTCATTTGCGTCATTTATTGAATCAAAAAATTTGTTTTATCAATCGCCTTTTCTCGTTCAAAACGTGAAAGATCAATTTATTCGAAAAAATGACTATGAAAGATCAATTTACATGAAAGTGTTAACATCATTTTTCTACATTCAGTAAGTTGCTCACATCAGTAAGAGTACAGGAATGCCTAAAGCGAAACGGAAATAGACGTCAAAATTAAACTAGTTTCCGCTCCCTTTCAGAGCGTGGCATTTTGCAATTTTTCCTCATTTTAATTAATAAAAGACAATAAAAAGTGGTATCTTTCACTGGTAAAAAGAAGAGAATGAATGACATTGGTATATCTAAATTTGAATTGAGGAGAATATTTATAAAATAGCAAATAACGTAGTTCAAAAGGAATCATATGTTCATAATAGAGAATCTTGATGAAAATGTGTTTTACACTGATTATCATCAGTTATACCACCGGCTAGCTTGTTCGTCCTATCCAATAGAATGTATCGAAAATCCTCAGCTCGCAGCTGTAAATAATATAGAATGTAGTAATGCAAAAAAAACAATTTAACGAGCAGTAAAGTGATGGAGGCTTTGAGAGAACTATTTAACGTTGAAGTTCTGAATTACTGAATCTTTTAATTGTGGTTCCACTGGTAACTTACTCCTTAGAAGTCATCAATTTCAGCCAAGATGCAAGTAATGCAGTAAACTTCAACTTTACTATTAATAATTTGGGACTAATAGAAACTCGCTAAGGAAAAAAGGGAAATGCGCGAAAAGTTCTGATATTAGATTATTTTATCACAAAAATTTGCGCTTTTGTGACCATGACTTTTAACACAAGGAGTAGGTCAATCAGTCTTTTCTTGACTATTCGCTCAAATGTCATTTGTGTTAGGGAATCGACTTCAGTCGAAACTCTCGCGTTGTCATCAGGTTTCGAGAAAATATGATTGAATATACTGTCTACTTTCTCAAAAATATTATATCAGGAATTGTACGACATCATCTAAATTAGGAAAACTTGTACTTTTTCGACACTGTCAAGTCATTTTTTTTCAAGAGAAACGTTGCTCACTGATGGCTAACATAAGGAATCCAAACGAACGTTTTTAAGCAAAAAATAGTTGCGAAAACGACTACTTAGAATAACACAATTTCGCTTTTATTTATATTGTATAGCTTGTTAGAATATAAGGTACTACAAACAATATTTCATCGCACTTACCTTGTGTTAGCGTATTGATCATAAACAGCACTCATGCCATAGCCACCTCGATCACCAATAATAACAGCTGACCACCAGTTGCCAAAACGAATTTCAGCCTGCTCTTTCATGTACCTTGCCTGGTAGCTGTATTGGTGAGGAAAGAGACCAATTGTTTCTAATACAAGCTCGCGAAGCTTTTCCGATTTACAGTTGTCCAGTGTAATATGTGCTCCTTTAAATTTCTCATGTCCCTTTTTTTGATGCCATTGAAAAAATGATGGACGTAGTTATAGTCAAAAATACACCATTTTGACAAATGTAAAAAAACAAAAGTTTTTTTTTACCTGTAAGGGTTCTAAAAAAGTTAGCAGTTCAGGAAGAAAGAGAGTGTACACTAGCTTTCATGTCATAAGGGATAGTTAGATGACTATGACTCCGACTAATAACATGTCTTTGCGATGATATCTGATTAAAGTAAGTTTTCTATTAGTAGAAAAACGGAGAATTTATGGAATAAAAGACGAAAAACTAATTATATTTCAGTTCATTAGATTGGAAAAATCAAGACTAGAAGTCGAACGTCATCGAACTTTTTCCAGGGGAGAAGTTAAAATTACTAAGGAGTAGTAATTAATAGGTTACACTGGATAACAGTAATAAGAAGAGAGAATGCGTCAGACTATGCATGTAGTGTAGAAGAGAACGATTGGCATATTTTAAGAATCATATTTATGAAGAGGGAATAGGTCATTTGAAGAAACTAGAAAAACAAACTGACCGGCGGTATGTCCTTGGATCATAACAGTTGTGGTAACAACACAGAGCAGAAGTACGAGTAGAGAGGGGAGGTGTCGTATATCGCTGTAGAGGTGCATTGTTATCGGCCTCCTTCCCTTCGTTAAGTTTATAGCAGTTGAGCCGACCACTCCTTGGGATCCTTGGGTTGCGTTATCGTTACTGTCGTTAGCTGCTGGTGGCACACCGTCACTGTCTCCAATGGATGGGTGACAGGAACTATGACCCTAGCCAGAAGTTTTCGGTGAGGAAGGCCAACAGATGGTGTTTATGCCTTAAAAGCTGGCCTTCTAACTCCTTCTACTGAATTAGATAGATTTGCGCATCCACTTCCTCAATCTGAGTTTAGACTGTGAATAATGATAGAATGGAATTCAATTTGTCGCTTGGAGCTGATTGCTTCTCAATTCTCAGGACCTGTTGCTTATTCTCGATTGGTGCTTTCATGTCTTTGTCACTTCCCCGTTATTCACCCACTTTTCCTTGCCACTGTCTCTGTTGCTACTTTGCTGTTCGCCATTTTGCTCTGTGTTACGTATCCCCTGGTTTTATCATGAATCTCTGCTCCTAAATAAATTGGATTTTCCCTTTTTATTTTGGTCACCCAGTCTACTTCCTGAATGATTCTTAGCTTAATTTGTTCAAATTTCTGAAATATGTGCTCTAAAAGTGTAACCAGATTGGCAATATTGATGACATCATGAATAATGATGTCAGTAGTATTAGACATTTCGACTAGTGCAAAAACTTGAACAAAAAAATTATAAAATTAAAGATACCATCGTTCATTCTATTCGCATATTTAAAGCAACGATTGTCTAGATTAGATGTGCTCTTCATGATTTTTTGAAATATATTTCAGAAACAACAGAAAAATTCTTGACCTGCTCATGTTCACGTCATTAATTAGTCTAGCAACTATCAGTTGTATGTGCTATATTTCATTCTTGTTTATGGTTTCAAAAATTTTGGATTTTTTTCTTACTGATTGGATGGCTGAGTACTTTACATGGGTTCCACTTATTTTAGTGGTTGCTTCTCCATTATTGTTCATCAATAAAGTGGGCTATATTGCACTGCAGTATGAATTTATCTGACTTTCCAAACTGCATTGTTTCTCATCCAAAAAAAATTAGTCTCTATAACGACAGCCGCATAACCTGTTAGTAATATAGATTCTATGCTATACTCAAAACGCATAATAAGGAAAAGAATTAAATTGATCTCAGTAGCAAAATAATTATGTGGTCCTACTAGACGGACGGAATGCAGTGAAAAAACCAAAACAAAGGAGTGCTGTAGCTATTCAGCAAAGTCGAAGTGTAGGATCAGAGTTAGTTGTTCATTCGCTTGAGTAGTTGTCTGGCCGTCGTTCTATTTACCCCTCTTAGAATGTATCCTGCTTTTATCATACTTTTCGTACTCTTATTGTTTTACCTGTTTATCACTCTGCAGTTGCTGATGGCATATTGTGCATTTTGTTTGCAAACATTGGTGTTTGCAGTATCTTTAAACAAAACAATTCACTTAGTACAAAATTCCGAATTTTCAAAATTCGTTCCTACCTTTTCTGCAGGTTTCATATTTTTCTGGGGATGGGTATTTCTGATCACGACAACACTGGTACTCGTTTTCAAAAAAGAAGTTGATCATTCCATCGCAGATAAGTTAGTTTTCCTATTTTGCTTTTTTACACAAGATTTAAGGAGCATTATATTTACGAAGTGGGAACAATCAAATCCAGTCCTAGTCAGGAAAGGGTTAGAATTGTACGGTTTTGCTGGAATCAGATTAGTAAAGAATGGGTAAGAGTAACATTATGATAGAAATTGTTATGATAGAATTTCATACTTCCAAGACTGTTGTTTACGCAAGTGTAAGAACTACTATTCTTATTGATTGAAAAAAGCTTTCGGGTTCTTGCTCACTGATTTATTATTGCAGGGATGATATTGATAATAAGAATGAAAAGCTAGAGCTAGGAATCTTCCAAACTTATGCTGTCTTGTGGAAGATCTTGCGACTGAACCCAGTAGTCTGGATGGTCATCGTATTGCTCACCGGAAAGGTACAAAATATTTGTGCATTGCAAGATGGATTTATTAACTTCTTGCTTAAAAATTGATCTCTTTAGATAAAGTAATTCCCAAAGAAAAGAATCTCAGAACATTTTTAGTCATTCGGTTTTTGTTTTTCCAGTTCGCATTTGCGGCTACCGATGGCATCACGAGTTTAAAGTTAATTAGTATGGGTATGCCGAAGGATAAGCTCTCCAGTATTGCTCTATTTTTGATACCTCTGCAGGTTCGTTTCGAACGCTTCAGCAGTTAAATATTTGTAAAACGATGTTACGTCCCTTTCTTTTTGAACATATTTCAGATATTGGTGCCGTGGGTAGTTGGCAAATATATAGCCGGTCCACGACCTCTGAATATTTTTCTTCTTGCCTATCCTTATAGGTTGGTTGGACTTTTGTTTGATGTAACATTGATACTCACTATTTTTTTGTTTTGGACATTACATTTAATGTCGGCTAAATAGTTCACCTTTTCATCATATATTTGCTTCGTATACATAAGTTATTTAATCATCAGAATGATTTCATTGACGTGATATCCCATGAAATTTTTTACAACTGAATATTTATGTACTTCTAAAATTTTCAGGATATTCTTGAGTGGAGTATTTGCAGCAATGATTTGGTGCACACCTTCACTGTCCTCTGAGAACTTCCCAGTGTTGCTTTATGCCGTTTGGATCGTAGCATACTGCTTCCATCAGGTCAAGATGTTACCATGTTATATTTTTGTGCAAAATTTTCAAAAAGACTTCAGCATACGCTGAGCGTGTTTGAATATGTTACTGGCTCACCGAAATTTTTTGTGGATATTCCTAACAGGACTCCATATATTCTGCAACATGGTTTAAAGAAATCGGTCTAGTCTCTTACAAGAGGTGAAACAGAGAGTGTTTCCTTTTCTCTCACAAAAAGGAAACAGTAGTTCCCTTCTCTTTTAAATGTCTCAATTATAATATTTTCGAATGAGTTGGTAGCGACTGAGGAAATCATAACTATGATTGATTGTCTTCCTTGAACTTCATTTTCTCTCGTACCACTTACGAGCTATATACTAACAAAATGAGGTGGAATTTGGAATGCATTATTTCAAAGTTACACTGTAAGCCGATAACGATTCGGATGGAATAATTTTTTCCAATTCGTTAATTACGATGATTTTTAGGTAGCATCCTACAGCATGTTCGTATCACTTATGGCATTCTTTGCCCAGGTATCAGATCCAGCAATTGGAGGCACGTATATGACTTTGCTCAACACACTCAGTAATTTAGGCGGCAACTGGCCCGTTACACTTATTCTTTCGCTTACAGACCATTTCACTTTTAAAAATTGTGTTGTTAGAGGGACCAAAACGTAAGTTTCGGCACAGTTTAGTTTCCCATTGAAATTTACGGGATTTTATATATCCTTTCGAATTTACTCAAACATATTAGGATCTTCGAAATCCTTCGAATAGTTTACATATAATAAGCATTACTATTTTCCATCAAGTTTCACTCATATATATGTAATTTAACCGATAAAATAGGAACGTCAATGCATCAGAATATTATTAGAACCTAGGATAATTCAGTATTTCGTCCGTCAGACGGTAACTGAGGACTACAGAAAATAATTGCTCAATGAACGAGACGCTTTACATCCACTTTAGTTTGTTTATTGTGAATAAGTTGTTTTTATTTCATTATTTCCATTCAAAATCTGAAATGTTTAGATAATCTTTTGCAGCATTCTTGGTTCATGCAATACTGAACTGTCAATGAATCAATGCACAGCGAAAGGAAATGTTTGCGAACTGGCCGTGGATGGATATTACATCGCTGTTGCACTGTGTTCTTTTGTTGGAATTATTTGGTACAAATTGTTCTTTAATAAAATTAGGTATTTCCAGGAAATACCACGGAAAGATTGGAGAATAATAAAACGATAAATTAAGGAGCAGCATTCAAATATTTTTGCGAAGTTTAAAATGTCACATTCGTTTTCAATCTGCAAATAACAAGATATATTTTAGATTAGCGTTTTATTTTGCTAATTGTCAAGCCACGTCACAATTTTTTGACTTGTGGAATTCATTTGTTCTACTATTACTTTTAATTAAATCACGAAAGAAGATTTGTCGCATTGTTATTAATTCCTTTTATTGCATTATGCATTTAAATTATTTTTTCGCTATTTCCATATTCTACCCTAATCTGTCTCATTTTTTGTATTGATAGCTCTGGAGACTGCAGAAGGCAGCACATCATTTTCCTCTTACGACTTTTATCTTTTTTTATCTTCAAACTGTGCTTTCCAAATTGTTAATTTACATTCCTTTTGGTGGATCAACTTTTAAAATATCCGGTATTCTTAATGATTTGTGGTTAACAAAAGTTGCATAACATCTAATGCGCCAGTTTCAGTCGATGAAGCAGTGGCTAGCAGTGAAATAACTGTATTCTAAGATTTCCTAATTTAAGATGTAACTAAATGTTTATTTTATTTCGTTTCGTCAAAAATTTCTGCGCTCATGATGTTTTATCATAAACCAAAAATTTATACTACGGTAGAAGATATCCGTTTTTTTCAAATTATATTGTCTACGCCGCTTTCTTGTTTTCGATCTGTCACATTTCCGGTGTAATTGAGATTGTGGTAGTAATGACTCGACCTGTGTCATTATTGTTTTGTCATCATCTAATAGTTGTTTATTTTTGTAGAATGAACGAACGTTGCATTCTATAAACATTATTTTATAATCCCTCGAACACTTGAATATATGAGCTGCTTGTATGCCAGTTTTTTGTTGTTTTTATTCTTAATGACTGTTGCTATAACACATATTTAGTATGTCTGTTGTAAAACAGGTTGAAAGCTGTTTGAATACGATTAAATGTATGTGCTCGACTTTTACTCTGCTTTTATCCATTTTATAAAGAAATGGAATTCAGTACCACACTTTGTATAAAAATGTTTGGTGAATGTTACTTATTAGTTATTTTAGTAAAAATGTTGATGTGCGGTTGGGTTAGTAACAGTGGCTTACAGTTAGTTGGTCTGAATTTCAAGTTGGATGAAGTGGCAGTTCCATTACATAAATGATCGGGCAGAAATTATTTTGAAATCTAAAACTCTGAATTGGTTATTTTAAATAATCTAGGGAAATTGGTCGGTTCATTTGTGACCTCTGTTTTCAACCGTTAGAAGGCACTCAACTATTTATGTATATCATATATATATATATATATATATATATACATAATTTTCACGAACGAACTGCCAGGAATTCTGCAAACCTGCGGTTCTTTATCGCTTAAAATGTGGTCGTGTGCCATTAGTAGCAGAATTCTTCTATACTTCACCCGTATTTTGCAGTTTGCCATTAATGCCAGCATTTCCTTTATGCCTTTTATAGTGATCTCAGCTAAAGAAGAACAAAAGAAATGGATAGAGCTTACTATAATCGATGGGCTGATAATGACTACGAGCAGGTGAATGTAGAAGGAACTCTGAATGAGATGAAGTACCACTACTCGACAGATACTCGACAGATCTCAAGAGTTCTTAGCAATTAATGACAACCTGAGAGCCAAACTCCCAAAATGTAGCAGTATCGTTATCCTCACTACACTAACAATTTACAGCATATTTTTCCTAAAAGTATGGTAAATGGTATTTCATGGTAAAATATGCTTCTTCAGTTACCAGAGTCCTGTTGTCTTGGACCGACCGATGGATCTCAAAGCAGTCTCAGTGGATCCTACTCTTCCGAAGTAATCCCATTCCTCAATTTGGTTTCAATCAGGGAAAACCTTCCCAACTACTGAAATCTATATGAATTGAGAACTCAGATCTGTTCAAGTTCCTTTACAATTCAAATATATTTGATTTCATGTGTAAGCTTCTCTAAAGTAACTGCCACTTGCATCACTTGTCCACTGTATCTGTCCGGTAAAGACAAATATGTCTGATTTAGAATGTTGAACTCCAAGAGTCCTCCAAGTTTGAAATGAACCGATACTATGGATTAACCGAAGTTGACTCCAGTCTACAAGACGTAAGTTATCATTTTTGTGATTGCTGTAACAGCTCGAAATCTTCTGAATTTATCATATACGGAAATGCGTACTAGTAATTTTCTTCCAGAGAAAAAGTATAGAGATTTCAGGCCATAGTGCGGATGGATTATGTGCAAAGTGTGCTCAATAAAATAACGCTTACAAATAAGAGTGCTGAATTCTGTCAACTATTAGAGGATTTCTTACATAACGTTGAAGGAATGCGAATAAAGCTCCAAACTATAGTAAATTCCGAAAAATTTTTCCTTGTCAGCAATAGTCACACAACGCTAACAGTGGCGGTCGTTACTTTTAAATTCATGTTCTTTATGATGTCTCAAAGTGATGGTTAGAAGGATGGTGAAACCAAACCACCTTGTACCACAACCTAATACATTTGTTATTAAAACAGTTAAATCTCATATTCTACTTGAGATACTTATGTTTCGTTCTGAATCATCTGGAAATTTTATATTTCGTTCGTTTCGATTTGTGTGAAAACATTATATGTAACTTCAGCATTGAAATCAATGGTGTTTACATTATTAGAGAAATGTTAATCGAAATTTTTTTAGCTTTCGCCATTTGCAAATCTGGAACAATTTTCGACAGACCTTCTTCCAATGACTGATACCAATTACAGCACAGGTATCCCATGCGCCACATCATACGCGCACAAACAGTTTCAGTTTAAAAAGTTGTTTGGTGAATTCACTATCTCCAAGAATAAGGAAGTTGAATATTTTAAACAGATCTTGGAACCCGATAATTCGTCAATCTGTTTCAGCAAATTCTACAGCATCATCCGCATCTGATAATATATCGATCGACGGACAAAAATAAACACTACTGGAGCTATATCGCTTTCATAAGCTACATAAGAAATTTTACTGAACGCTGTAATAAGCAACAATAACATCCATAAAACAGTGAAAAATATCCAAAAACGAGAAACTATGCAAGTGTTCCGACTTCCCACTGTGAACAGTGACAGGTCGAATCACTTGCAATAGTTTCTTAAACGTTTTTCTCCTCCGAAATGGTTTCATCGGTATGCTTACCCTTCAACAGGCCTGTTATACGTGCTCGTCCAGCAGCTTTTCTTTCAATCATCGCTCGGCGATCCTTATCCATCTTTAGTTTTGTCAGTGCCACCTTAAAGCTGTACAAAATTAGGCTGTGATTGCATAAGGTGCGACCGTTCACTAAGTTGCTGAAAAATGCTCACGATGCCAATCATAAGATTTATCTCACCCACTGATCGGGTTGCACGGACTTAAACCATGGGTTTTCGCCAATCAACGCGACAGTGTTGCCCTAAGCGGCCTTCGATTATACCGTACATATGAAAATAACTACACACTGCCTATTACAAGCTGTTTAAATCTATATAAAAAAGACCTTAGCTGCGAAGAGAATATTGATTTTGAAGCAATCTACGACAACAAGGACAAGCATAGCTATCCTCGGATAATTTACGAGTACTATTAGTATGAAACTAATCCCTCACTATCAATTATGTGACTTCTTCCCTAGAAGTTTAGAATGCAGCATTAGTAAAAAATATCACGGTTCAGACTGTTACAAAAACAATAAAACAAAAAAAAGAAACCTTGGACGGATGGATTCCAATATGTACCGTAGAACCATTTGCTTTTTCACGAGTAATTTTATCAATGTGGATAACGAATTTCTTACGGTAAACACGCATTACGCGTCCAGCGTTTCCTTTGTAATGTCCTCGAGTAACGGTGACCTCATCATCTATTCTGTAACATCAGAAATTCCTTCAGCCCATTAATCGCAAAACAAAAGCAGAGAAAAAATCCCCTTAGAAAATACAGAAACACTCAGTGGAGTTTAATGTTGTATATTTTTTATTACGCCGATGATGTTGCAGTTGATATGCTGGCCTACGTGACCTGCCTCTCCTTTCCTTTTATTTGATTGGCTAATCAAGCTCAGGCTCAAACTTAGTCACATAATTTACCTGATCGGTATTGAACGGATCCCATGCTTGTTACGCAAATCTTTGGTTAAAGGAGCACTCATCAATTTCCTCCTAATATGAGAAGGGGCATTGAAATGAGCCTTACGAGCCTTCCTCGCTGAAGAGGAGACGAACTGATTTTGCTTCATTCTAATCTAAAAACCTGAAAATTCATGTATACGCAACAATACGCAGAGATTATGGAAAGAGATGTTTCTGTAAGATACAAGAAACACCTCAACAGGTTCGTATTATTCCAATTGTTTCGTGCAGGTGAAATGATTCTCACGGCAAGGTATAGTTTGAGTGAATGCCTCGAATTTCATGAGCAAAGCAGTACTACAAAAACAAGCTGTTGACACGCCCGAACACCAAAGACATCCCCCCCCCCTCCCCTCCTCACTCCCAATCAACTCGCAAAAACCCAACCTACCCAGCAGCCAACAGGAACCAACCTTCACCTTACCTCTGTGATACTTATTCATGCAAAAAACGGTAACGAAATGAAAAATCGTGTCTTAGGCAGAGGTTCTTAGAGATTTTCTTGCGTTGTACGAATTCGCTTAATATTTCGAATAAATCAACAGGACACAAGTAAGTTGGTAAACTGCAGAAATTTTGACATTCGACTCGCGATAAAAATGGCTAATCTGTCAAGTTGGGATGACTGCGTTTATGGATGGTTTGTCATTACCCGAATATAACAAGTGGGGAAATTTTAATTTTGCCTACTTCTCTTTCCCATCCTCACTATCTTAAAAACTTAGAGACAATAATCTAATAATTTTAATAATCATCTTACCCTTCCTGCTCGCCTATCACCTCCTCCCCCTTCCCTCCCTCCACTGTACCTGTCCTGACTAAACATTTGGCTTTTGCGTTGCAACATTCAGTGTCCTTTGTGGACGCCTTTTTATCATAATTTAAATTTTTATTTGGCGCTAATTTTGTGTTTGAGAAGAAGGTGGTAACGTACGTTGGATTTACGTGGTGGACACGTATGAGTTGATTTGTCGGGCATGTATGGGGAAGTTTACGTTTAATTTACAGCAATGTATTGTGTGGTTCCTTCACTGATTGATTGATTAATTACACATTAAACATTGTCACCAGTCGGAAATAGTGAGTGAATTTTGGAAATTTGCACTATATGGATTACTAGTGAAATTATAATATTATTATCATCAACACTTCATACATGATAATAAGTGGGTAGATCGCTCATAGGATTCGGACAGTAATTATTGATTCTCTTGGATTCACAGTAAAATCTATCTTGACTTTGAGAATGATGCCTGTTGCCAGAACCGTTCTGAAGTTAGGGTAAGAACAGTGTCGAGCATTTGACATGTTCATGTATTTATTGCAAATTCTCGCGAAATGTATGTTAATATTGAATTGGAAACAGCCAAAACAGGGTAATATTCATTCGTTGCTAAAGTCTATTGGAATAAATCCAAAGAATGGAGAGAAAGGAAAAGGAGCGAAGATCTTCGGTATGTTTTTAGCACAGATAAGGGTAATACCTATAAATAATAACTTGGTCCTTTTTTTTGAAATTTGTTTTGTAAGTTAACTTCATTGGTCATAAATTTGGAAATATATTCAAATTTGGAGCAAGTTATCCAACCCCGAATTAGGTGCGTGATATCGATATTTAGAAGGCGAGGACTAGGATAAAGAGGGAGAATTGTTTGGTCTTACATGGTAAGCAATAATATTATATTGTTTGCAGATACTAAAACCACAGCAGCACCCGAACGTTGACAATGGCGAGTTGTCGACGACAATAACAACCACAGTAAAGAGACGTGTCAGCTTTCACACCGTTCGGACTGTCCAGTGAGTTTTTGTGACATTTTGTTAACTTTGAGTGAATATCATGAAAAGGTTTGCGATTTTAATGGATCTTGCTAGCTATTCAACTTATAGAGGAGTATTTCTATTGCTTTAACTTTCACTTTCACCCTTCCAAACTTCGAGAAAGATTGGAACTGTAGAAATATTCTAGACTGAACAAATGCTTGGGTCAGACCAAGAGATCATGACAAGTAGCATAATACTTTGGCATACTACCTAGGCAAGTGTTACAAGATTAAATTATTCTTCATGACATTACAATAGAGCTATTTTTAAAAATATCAACGAGTTAACATGCTCTTGGTGAACAATAGCAGTTTTTAGGGAGTTTGATGTGGAACATAGTAAAATCGTACATTCCCCCCATAACGAACCTATTAAATGTAAGTTCCGAATCTTTCATTTTGAAACTTTGCCCAAAAAGTTTTTGCAATTACATCTCGGAAACATGTTTCTCAATTTTCAATATCTTATTAATTATGTTAGTGCTTTAATCTAGATTACTTCTAGTAGAGCTGTTTGTTATACCTTTTATGCTTTTATTGTCTGAGAAAGTCAGGGTCGTTCTCTTTTTTCATTTAGGTTTTAGTTTCTCTTACTTTGTTCACTGCTTTAATTATGCTATCCTTCTAAATGGGTGTAATGATGTACAATATCTGCGAAAATATAACATGAACTAATTATCAATTCCAGTGTACGATACGGCAAGTTCGGATGGTTTAACTTCGGAGTAAGTTGTTCTGTCCACAGAATTATCATTTCAATCAAATTTTAAAATACCCATCTTTTTTTGAAAACTCTTCCTTTCAAAGAAAAATGCTGTTCATTTTATGTTTTATAAACGTTTCAGACAAATGTCTGCATCTGAATCAAATGGTGGTTATGCAGTGGAAATAAGCACAAATAGTAAGATTTTGATTAAATTTCTCATTTCTGCTTCAATGCAGACTGTGGAAGTCA